ATAATCCAGTGAAATAAATTTGCAAAGAGGAAAATTAAAGGTACATGAAGAATTCAGAAGATTAGAATTTGGGAGAACACAAAGAGTGGATGCACATGCGCCATTGCAAACGACTTTGAGCCATGTCATTCAAGGTCTCTAACCATCGGTTACGATCATCTCGCGGATCCCAAGTAGTCTACACCTTACAACATGGCTCAGTCAATTTGTCAGCGACTTGATGGATTTGTGCCATGTTTTGGTCTGGCCGCTCCTATATTTCTTCCAATCTATTCCTATACAACAAAACATTGCGCATCGAGGCAGTCCGTGACTGGGCATACGTAACACGTGTCCCAGCCATCTCAACTGAAGAAGTTTCACTACTTCATCAATTCATTTGCCATTCTTACCTAGTACCCGTTTCCTAACAACTGTGTTACTTACTCAATGGTCCCAGGATATACGGGCAATATTTCGAAGACACCTATGATCGAATACTAATAACCTACGAATATCCTCTACTCTTACCGGCCATGTTTCACTGCCATAAAGTAGGACGGAACGAACTGCTGCGCAGAAAACACGTCCTTTGGTTGATAGACGGATATCTCGCCTACGCCATAAATGACGCAAGTTGGCAAAAGCTAGTCGAGCCTTCTGTATCCGTGCTGAGATTTCGTCACACACCAGACTGCAAGGGCTGATGAGACTTCCAAGATAAGTGAAGCGATCGACACGCTCAATTACTTCACTCCCTATCCTTAGTTCGGGTGTCAATGCAACCCAATCCTGAAGCAACATTTAACATTTCGAGGGAGAGAATCGCATCCCGAACATGCTTGCATTGTTGCTTAGAGTGGTCAGAAGACTCTGCATTTTGTCAGCGTCTTCACCAAATAAAACTATGTCATCTGCATATTCTAAGTCAACAAGTGAACCTCCCGGTAGAAGTTCAACCCCTGGAAATTTAGATGAGGAAAGTGTTATCTCTAAAAGTACGTCGACCACAAAGTTGAACAAGAATGGGGAGAGTGGACAGCCCTGACGAACACCACTTGAGGTGATCAATTCTGATGACAGTTCACCATAAGCTCTCACTCTACCAGTTGTGCTCGAGTAGAGAGCCTTTATAAGGTTAATGTACTTCTTTGGTACTCCTTTCAGTGACAAACACTGCCATAGAACCCCACGATCAACAGAGTCGAATGCTGCCTTAAGGTCGAGAAATACTACGATTATGGGGCGTCTGAATGTGTGTCTGTGTTCTAGAACCTGACGTAGTGTGAATATCTGATCTATACAACCACGTCCAGGTCGAAAACCAGCCTAGTTTTCTCTAACCTACTCTTCACGAGCTATGGGTAGGCGTCGAAGTATTATTGAAGCTAATATTTTAGACACTATATTAGTCAAACTGATTCCTCTGTGATTGTCACAAGAGGACTTTTGTCCTTTCTTATGAACTGGCACGATCAGTGATTGAGACCAGTTAGATGGGATTACGTCCAGTTCCCAAATTCTACCTAAGACCTCAGTTAATCTCATTGCTAATACTGGACCACCATCCTTAAAAATCTCAGGAGTGAACCTGTCATGGCCTGCTGCTCCCCCTCGCTTCAGATTTCCTATGGTTTTTTCAACCTCGTAAAGAGACGGAGGACCTACATCAACTTGCCATTCAGGTTGACTCTAGATCGTGGGAAACCGAAGTGTGGCTGAAGGCCAGTTGAACTGATCCCTAAAGTGTTCTGCCCATCGATCCAATCTCCGAGATTGAGAATGTATAATATGTCCATCTTTCCCTGAAAGTGTTTCACTAAGAGTTGGGTTCCTAACACCGGTTCCCTTACCAAGGCTGAACAGTTTTCTGCTGTTGCCTATTGCCGCTGCCTTTTCCATTTCTCTTGCTTTCGCTACCCACCACTGTTCGCGATCATTGCGTAGGCTTCTTGTCAGCTTGCGCTTAAGCTGACTCCGCTCTTCGTCATGTTCAGATCCAGATGGAATGAGTTTTCGAGCATCTTTCAGTGCGGTAGATGCTGCTGAGATCCAGTATTTCTCCCTAACCTTCTGGTTTACCTTAATAACAGATATCACTGCTGCTTTCACAGCTTTTTAGATATAACTCCAAGCTGCTCCGGGTTGGGAATAACTTGCATGGCTGCCTAACTCTTTTTCTAGTTGTTCCTGAAATATACTCTTAGCTTGACTATCATTAAGTGGGCCCCTAAGAGGTTTCCTTGCAGCGTCTTTCCTACGTCCAGTAAGACGCAAGCAGATACGCGCTCGTACTAGAGCACGATCTGAATCCAGGCATGTGCTCCAGAATGAGCGACAGTCTTCTATCGAGCCCCTCCACCTGTGGTTGATGGCGGTATGATATAGTTTGGTCCAACGTTGGGATGAATTAGAGGGTCACCATGTTAAAAGATGTTTTTCTTTATGCTTAAAGTTAGTATTTGCAAGGAACAGGCGTTTATTTGAGCATAGCTGCAACAGACGGTCGCCATTATCTGTTCATTGAGCCACGTTACTATAAGATCCACCTAGGTGTCTTTCCCTATCGCTTAGTTTACCTACTTGAGCATTAAAGTCACCGGCCATTATTACCACATCCGAGCGCCTAGCTTTTAGGAGGAGGTCCGAAAGCTTTCTGTAAAACTCATCTTTTACATCGTCTGCGCTGTAGTCAGTGGGATAATAGGCAGAGACGACGAAGAGGCAACGACGAGTCTCCCTGTCTTTCCGAGTTCTTACTGTTCCGTTCAGCGCACAAGCGACTGTCTACTTGGATCCAGTCTAAGAGAGCTAGTTCTGCCCCAGGAGTTTTTAATGTGTTAGCTCCGTTTTTCAAAGGGCCTTACCACCGGAGACGGAAATCCGTGAGGTAAGGTGACGTGTGAAATTTTTAGAGTCGACCTTTTCTAACCTCACCACTCCTTGTGTGAAGGTAGCATCGCTGCAGATGCTGGTTGTCCGAGGGAAACACCTTACTGCTGTCACACCCATCTGTATTCAGCAGTACGACTTCGCCCTCAGACGTTGAGTTGCTGTTTTTAGTCTAACCGTTCTCCATACGACCTGCCTGGCATAGTAGAACCTACAGGAACATATGTTCCAGTCAATAAAGCTTGGTTTTGCCATCACAATAGGCAAGCCCGACCACCATGTCAAGGTAGCAGCTATGGCTGGAAGTCTGGTTTTAAGAGGAATAAATAATAATCTGAATTATATATACACTTAATGATTCCTATGTTCATAATGATAAAACGTGCATGAGGTTCACTGAATATGTCTCACCTGTTCATGTAAATAATATTAAATAAAACATAGTCATTTGACTTCAATAAGTCTCCAGAGAGCACAAAGTACCATGTTTTGCGAGAATACATTTAAGAACACTACCAAGTACAACTTATTAATCTGAAATAAAGGCGTTTTTTCGCCCTTATCTGAAATTATGATCATAATGGGGTTTGTGAATATTTTAGTAATTTTAATGGTTGAATTTATGAGTCGATGTAAGCTAGTTCACCATGGAAAGCTTGAAAGCAGTGGACAGTCGTTTCGTCATAGTATGGGACTCTTCAGCGGTGTGTGTCAACGATCCCACACGCATGACTCGAATCTATGACCCTCAGTCTCGCATGCAAACGACTAACCTCTAAACTACTGACCCGGCGTGCTGCAAGAGAGTCCCATACTAGGACGAAACGGCCATCCAGCGCACATCGACTCATAAATTCAATTATTAAAATGACTACAATCTCCACAAACCTCATTCCGATAATAATCATCATGTGCATAATATGAACTGGGATACAGATGATTTCCTGGAGTTCTAATGAAAAGCCGTGATCAGTGGAGTCCAATCCGTGTTAAGTAGAGACAGGTATCTATTTCAAACAATAGATAAATGGTTGCACAGGTATTCATGAATCAATGTAAGTATAGATACTAACACTGTTGGATGTCAGTTCAGTAATTCAGCAGGTTAAGCATTCGCCCGTAAGATTAAAATGCCCTGGGTTTGAATTCCGCATATGGGATCATGGATAAGCACTGCTGAGGAGTCCCACAGTAGAACAAAACGGCCATCCAGTGCTTCTAGGTTTCCAACGATGATCTAAGATCAATCGGTTCATGATCTCAATTAAAATATTTATCTGAAAACTTAAGTGAGTATATATGATTTACTTGTTACTTTTTGATTTAAGATAATTCATCAGCTGATTTCAATTGATGAAAGATACTACTCGTTTAATTTACTTGCAAACTTACGTTAGTTTTTCTTCCCCCTATCGATCATGATCCCACCCACCATTTCATTATAAACAAAACTGTGAAAATTCTAAAATTCTCCACAAAACCCATTCTGATAATAATAATCAACTGCTCACTGGTGACTGACTTCAGGAAAAACTCCTGAAGTTCTAGTGAGAAGCCGTTACCAGTGGAGTTCAACCGGTCTGTTGTGAGATAACAACTCACTGAAGACAATGGTGTACGGTGGCGCAACTTCGTGGATTGGTTGAAGTTAGACATTAACACCGTTGGATGCCGGCTCAGTGGTCTAGTGGTTAAGTGCTCGCGCGCGAAGCCAGTAGGTCCTGGGTTCGAGCCCCGCGTGGTGCGGGATCGTGGATGTGCACTGCTGAGGAGTCCCATACCAGGACGAAACGGCCGTCCAGTGCTTCCAGGTTTCCAATGGTGGTCTAGCTTCAACTGACTCATGATTTCAAAAACTGTGAAAATTCTAAAATTCTCCACAAAACCCATTCTGATAAAAATAAGAATAAGTTTTGATAAAGATATACGTACATGTAGGACAGACATATCTAATGTGAAAAACACACACACACACTCATCATATGAATGTCTATCCTACATAAATATTCATTGATAGTCTACCTTTATTATGGAATTTTTTACGGATTGTCACATGTGTGTTGCCCACTAAATTTATTTTTTCTTCTAAAAACTCATATCCTCACTGATTTGTGATTGGTTAATTATTGGGCGATTTGACCTTGTAATGATTAGTATTTAGATAATATAAATATATCTTAAGTAATGGAGTTACTATGTCTCTGAGTCTTTAGATTTTTTTTAAAAAATATTTTAATTGTTACTATTCGATATTGTACATTAAAAAGAGAAAAAAAAGAAGAAATTTAGTTGCTATGAGCAATAAAAGAATTAAACAATCTATGCCAATATGGTCAACATGTTTTTGTATTGATACTCATCGTTGTGGATTATTTAAACAAACCAATCGAAAATTAGCTTATTTCATACAAAAAGGTAATCTTCCAGCAATTGAACATATATTGAAACGAATAAAACAACCATTAAATAATTTAACTATAATTGTGAAACGACATCAATTCAATACATTCTATCCATATTTAATGAATCATCATCATCATCATTATTTTTATCAAGAATGTTCACCAGTTCTATGGGCTATAGATTGTTTACAATGGAATGTTTTACCATTATTATCCTATTATGGTATCGATATCAATCGTCCACAATTATGTCGTCGTTGGACAAATTGTATATGTAAAAAGAATTCACGATCAAATAATAATAATAATATATTGCCATATCGGAAATTTTGGACACATGGTCATTATACATATCAATCTGCATTAGATTATTTCTTTGCTAGTATTTATGAATATATCAATGATAATTATTTAAATGATATTAATCTATTAACATTTTATAATATACATTTAACAAATCTATTAACAAAAGGTATTGATATACATCGTATTAATTCAGTAATTATATTTAATTTATTAGCAATTAGTTTTAATCAATCTTTATATCAATCTATCACATCTATAAATAATCATTTAATATTAACAAAAATCAATAATCAATCATTTATTGAATTATTGATTATTAAAAAACTTATTAAAAATGGTTATTCACAATTTGAATGTATGGATTATTTATATTCCTATTGTAATTGGTTTAGTATATTATTATGTATATTATGTCATCCGAATATTGATCTATATCATATTAATAATAATAATAATAATAATAATAATAATGGTAATAATAATAGTAATGATAGTATGATTAGTAACAATAATAATAGCAATAATAATAATGATAGTGATAGTAATAATAGTAATAGTAATGATAATAATAATAGTAATAATAATAATAATAAGATGCCAAAAATGATAAAACAATCAATATTATTATTGATTAATTTACTTGTATTAAAATGTACTATTCCAACTATAGAAGAGTTTTCGGAATTCATTGAAAATTTACCATTATGTAAATTATATATTAAATATAATAATAATAATAATAATAATAAATATAATGAATTTTATAAACGTTTAATTCAATTACATCAATTATGTAATCAATTAATGAATAAACCATTTAGTTTAAAATTAATAACAAGAAATCAAATAAGAAAACAAATTGGTGGTATTGATTTTCACAAAAAAATCAATAATATTGATTTACCTAAACAATTAATTACCTTTATACAATATATTAATTATGAACAATTTGTAATTATGAATGATATACCAAAACAATTCATTCAATTTATACAAAGTGAATGGATTGATATGAATTCAACTATAGATTGTAATGATAATACATTGGAAGAATCTATGAATATATTCAATCAATCGAATGATTTAGAACAGATCAATAATCATGATAATAATCATGATAACGAAGAACAATTACCTATGAATAATAATAATAATAATAATAATAATAATAATAATAATAATAATAATAATAGTTTACAACGTGGTAGAGCCTCAGAACGTCAACATATTCATATGTATCAAAGAAGAATAAATAAACATAAACAATCATTAAGACCTACATCTGCTCCATTACTTAGAACATTTGTTAGATAAGAAAGAAGAAAAAAAAGATTATCTTTTTTTTATTTACGTGGAAACTACATTTATCTCAGGGATTATAACAACCACCACCACAACGAAAAAAATAAATAATGAAATACTGATCCTTCAATGATTTTTATTGATTTAATTTTCTTGTTACCTTCTCTCTCTTCCCCCAATATTTATTTGTTTATGATAAAAGACATAAAATTATTGTTTTATTAAATTATTCAATTGATTATTAATCAAATCAAGTGTAAAGAATGTTCTAATTTTATTTTATTATTATTTATTGTTGTTCTCCTTATCATTGGTGGTGATGGTGGTGTTGTGTTGTTATTTTGTCCGAATGATTCTTTTCTTATTTCTATTGATTGTATATTGATTTTTTGATATTTTGTTAGTACCACATATTAAACCTAGAATACAATTAATGAACATTCCCATTATGCTTAGACTTTGTAAATTATTGATTAGTTCAATACTTATTTATATTGTTAATGTGATACATAAATAATACCATAGTCAAGAGGGGGGGAGAGGATTGTTTTTCTTATTACATCATTATGCTTGTTCGTTTGTTTGTTTTTTTGAGAAAGAAAACATTTTTTTTATACAGAAATTCTTTAATAACCTTAAGTACAATCTTTGACAAGATCAATATGTATGTTAATCGTTTGTTTAATTTATGATCAATTTTATCAACGATCAAATCTAATCTTCAAATGATCACTTACTTACTTACATACGCCTGTTACTCCTTGTGAAAGAGTATAGGCCGCTCACTAGCATTTTCCATCTAACCTTATCTTGGGCTTCAATAATCAATTCAATGATTATTGATTTTAAAATCATTCAATATTTGATTGTTTATTGTTTGTATTTTGTTTTTCCTATAAATATTTGTTTGTTTACTTGTTACTATGTATGTATGTATGTATGTTTATGTTGATCACTTGTAAATATATAAATATCGATTTAGATATAGAAGATTTATGATAATTAAAAAAATTTTTTTTAGAAATTGTCTATTATTTATTGATTTTTTGTTTATTTATTTATTTATTGATTGTTTTTAAAGGATAAAATTTAAAAACAAATAAATAAACCAACTTGCTATTTGACCATTCCCTTTTCACTTTCTTTCATTCCTCTGAATATATACAAGTGAATTTGTTTATTAAATTGTATAGTATCCTAGTCACATTCATATTCTGACTGAATAATGTATGATTTATACAAGCAATATCATATAGATAATTGATAGGTTATTCAAGTGTTGATCCGATTTGATCGATGTTATATTTCAGGCTGTTATATAAATTAGAAATTGGTCAATGAACTGTTATTCATCAAACTAAGTTATTCAGTTACCTATTCTCATGGTTTAAAGCATATTTGGCGAGACTCTAATTTATGGACGACCTTTGAATGAGTCTTAAGTGAACTTGAGGAATATTAGCCAGCCGGCAAACAGTCAGTATAGAGTGAAAATATGTTATACAAAATCAAGGAAATAAAATGGATACACTTCTTATACGTGGTTCGAAAACTTGTCAAGGTTAAAAAGAGGCTCAGAGGTTCTAAAATCGTAATGCATGCAGTAGACGAGATCATCCATATGGCTACAGAATAGTCGGTCTCTGGAGCCACAATAAAGTCTCAAATACTCTTTCAGCCTCGACCACATAACTTCAATATTGTTTGTGTGCACTCCGGTTGTTGAGTGCACAAAATTCTACTTGTGGATAACGACAAGATGCACATAACCGAGCCCATTTAGAATTCTGTACGCTCTCCAATCATCCGTATATATTGTAGTACCTGGCTGCAGCCAGTGTTACTGGTGCTTTTATTATCCTGTTCGCAATAATTGTCATAATTTGCCTTAGTTAGGAAGTATATATAGGGTTTTCATCACGAACTGACATCAACTATAATGCCAGAAATTTATTTAGCCAAATGGATGAAAGACTTTCGCGTTAAAACCCGAGATTTATTATCTTATACCTGATTGATTCATCCACAAATTATAGTCTCGCCGTTTTGCTTGTTATAGCCGCTCAATTATTAAGTTTCGTACAAAATTCCTTGTGAACCGATCGTATGTTAGCATTAAGCACTGAAGTTGGCGCCGTAACCTTGATATCTCTAAAACTTCTCTGATTGGCTCATCCATAAATTAATGTCTCTTCACATATTTCTTGTAAATACAACCTATAATTTATAAGCAAAGATGGATAGTGGCTAGTAGTGAAATCCAGTTCGACGTGCTTTTAGTCCTATTCACGACTTGTCAACGGGATGTACCTGCATTTCACAGTTGGTGTTCCCTCTGAGACTCGAACCCAGTACCATTCACTTCAAATAGGACGAAATGCGCGTCCTGAATTCCATTGCTAACCATTATCCATCTTTGCTTATGATGTTTGTGAATTAAGACAATATTGAGGCAATACGCACAGGATGCACATATGCCGATAAGCGAATGATCAGTACTTAACATCAATTGGAATACTCAAGTAAACAATACCAAGTGAATTCAACCTATAATTTGTTTAAAGAATTAATGACTAATCTGTACTGCATAAAAGATAGATAAAGATACTCCTAGGTAAATTAATTATCCGGTATACAATAGTCTATGCTACTTTAATATTATATCATCCGTTGAGAATATAATGTATGTGGGACGGTTATTTAATTATTTCATTGTTCTCTAGATGTTTTAAGTATTCCCTGATGAAATTTAAGTATTTGTGTATACTTTTGGATAGATTTAAAAGTAGGTAAATAATGGGTAATGAGTAAAAATCATTTCGAAGAAACGTTCCTGTCGGATAAGCTGTACACTGTTAAATTGTAAAAAGTAAATCAGTCAGTCTCCTTTATAATAAACTGACTGAATGGCTCTAAATAAGCAGACTAATCTTTTAATTGAATCAGACAATGATAAAACAATTTAAATCCATCCCAATTTCTTTTGACTTGTAGTGATTATTAGACAAAGAGAAGGTGAATATTTCTGAAAATGACATAGTCTTGAGTTGGCTAGTAAATCTGTCTAACAAACTTCCAGAGGTTTGTGCTGATGATGTCGTTCAGAAGAACAGTGAAAGCTACAAGACCAAACCATCCAGCTCACAGAAAAAAACTCCATCAAAATTATCCACCTGAGCTACAAATCTTCTCCACCATGTCTAACATACTCTCACCACCTGATTGATATTGACTGTATTATTACTGTAACATACAAATGCTAGGAGAACTCAAAGTGAACTTCAGAAATCATTTAATTTGATCAATCAACGTTCTTCAGAAACTTTGCAGATAATTCTAAAACTCAAAATAAATATTTTCATTGTTCCGATTGGACAGTGACCGAATTTCTTATCAATTTTAACATGATTACCAGAGACATCTTGAATCTCAAAATCACAATGTTATATCTGAATGAAGAATAAATGAACAATAACTGCTAAGAATTATTTATGGATTCTTATTACATATATTCTTATTGGACAATTATTAAGTAACTGGATTGAACATACATTCATATTCCTTTTATCATAAGTTTTCATGTGACTTGTTAGCCGCTGTCATAAAACACATCATTCTTAATGTATTCCCTGTTTGTTAGTGATAGTATTCCACATTCACAACCACTTTTGAACTGATCTTGTACAGTTACTATTACTCATTTTATGGTACGATGCGGCCTAGTTTGCTTGTGTATTAACTAAGTGTATCTGAAATATACGATCCGTACAATGGAGGTTGATATTAATGTTCTGAACTGAACCGTGCTGGGTTAAGCAAGAAGCTAATATACAGAGGACCAATAAGGACTCGGAGTAGACTCAAGGCTGGTCGTGTGCAGGGAAAAATTCATATAAGTCGGTGTCCTGATTGGCGATTTTGTCACGTGATAGTTGACAGAGCCTTTAGACATAACATACAAACTCTCTTTTTTAATAATATTATAAGCTAACTGAAATCCAGCAGCGTGTCATGGTGGGACTAATGAAGATTAAGTTAATGTAAACTAATAGTATTTCCGTCTGTAGCCATGTATAGTTACTGTCGCTCCAACTCTGGATAGAGGAGGACTGTTGGTCATAGGAATAGCAACGTCATCCTGTAGAAAGAAACCTTAATTGAAAAACGTTAACGAGAAGAAACCATTTTAATTATATAAACTGTGCGCCGGGTGTTCAAGGGTCTTCATTTAGAAGAGCATTGATGTCCCATAAGCAGAGCCTAGATTCTCTACAATCCACTAGACTGATCCACCTTCTCTTAACCAGAGAAACAATCATTCTAGGTACATTTGATGTCCAGATGCGGTGAGAAACTGGGAGGGCAATTAAAATAGCAGCGGGAGTGAGAAGATAAAACGTGGTTGTCCTTGGAATCAGTGAAAATCTTTGGACACCATGTTGATAAAAAACTAACTTTAGGAGGGCTGTTATTTAATTTTGGCTATGGAGAATAGAATATTTCATACACAAGGAGTTGGAGTGATTTTGTAAAAAGAATCACGAAAAGCTCTTATAGGATAGTAAACCTATGACTTCAGGATCATAAAAGCACCTAAAATTGCTTAGGTACATTGGTCGATTTCATGTTAGAGTCACCAATCAAAATTTTGATTACAATTTTTCCTACTCTAAACCTACATGACCAATAATTCGTCTGACCTGTACAGTTAACCTCGAGCCAATGCAAGCTGAATTCCTTTTGATACACTATCCGCAAGCCTTTCTTTATTCCTTGCCTTGAGTACAAAATGAAGTCAGGAGACAGCTTCTGTTATGAACTCAATTCAATCATGATCCAAAACTAATACAATTATATGCAGTAAGATGATAAAATATAATAACAATATAACTATACTATAAGTGGAAAATGTTGAGTTAGAATACCGTCATAAAATAACACTAACATACGAAGAACAGAACAAACAACAGCAGTTTATGGATCATAGAAAAGTTTACCAGCTGAGGTATACAACAATATAATAAGCAGATTGTTTTATGATTACAGAACAAAAATAAAAAGTGTCAATGTAGGAAAGTCCCGGAAGCTCTCTTTTAATTACCCGTCCTGTAAGAATACATTCATCAAGCGAACGAGTAAGGAATAAAATGAATGATATCAAGTGCTGTGAGCTCTAAAATGACCTGCAGTCAAGGTGATGCAGACCAGATTATCATAAAAAAGAGTCCAACGATGATAAATACTTAGTGAAATCCTGATGAAAGAACTAAACGCCAAGGTCGGAATGGGCAACACCGGGTATGAAGATATCATCGGATGATATGAATTGAGAGAAAGAAATAAGAATGAAAGGAGACTGGTAAATCTATGTGCACTCAACAAAATGGTTATGTGTGACAGTTTTTTCCCCACAAACGCAGACACAAAGCTGACCGGACCAGACTACAGAGAACCTGATCGGCCACCTTTGTATCAATAAAAGTTCAGAGGGTTCAGGGGAGAAAATGGTAATATAAAAACTTTATACAACCCTCCTTCGAGATACTAATAAAATTAGTGAATTCGGGATTTTCGCTACAAGTGGTTTCAAGCCTTACGATATCCATTCAAAGAATAGCGAACTACTATCGAGAAATACTGGAAAAGGACCAAAGTGGAGTTAAATTCAAAGTACCAGGAGGTGTTGGGCCGCAAGAAGCACCATCACAAGGAATAGATCTCTGCTGATAACCAGATAAAGATTCAAGAAAAGAAAGACAACAAGATGGTAGCCAACAACAGCCGTACAATAGAAGAAAAAGCAAAGACATATGCCGAGTATAAAGAAGCAAACGACCGTGTGAAGAACATTGGAGTTGACGAGTCAAGATACGTTGAGGGCCTGGCAACGACAGCGGATAAAGCTGCAATAGAAGGAAATATGAAATAACTATATGATGCAACAAAGAGGCTGGGAGAGAAATTTAGTAAACCACATGGGACAGTCAAGGACAAAGAAGGCGAATCAATCACTGAGATTCAGGAACAGGGTAACAGGTAGGTAGATCACAGGGAATAGCTCTAAAATAGATAAACTCCAATGAACACAAAGGAAATCAAAGTCGCACTTACAGACATTCCTATGGATGCTACAGCGCCAACAATAAAAAGAACCAGCAAGACCGTCTGACAAATTAGAAATGCTGCAGCACCCGAACCAGAAACCACATCAACTCATTCACTCAATTTAGATATAATGGCAACTACGAAAATGTTCCTCTCAATTTAGAAATACCTAAGTTGGAGAACAAGTATCGACAGTCTGAGAAGAGGGGCACCTCGTCAAGACACCGATGAGACAAGATCTCAACTACAGAATCACAGAAGTATCACAACACCATTAGTATCAGGCAAACGTTTCACCAGTGTTACTGAACTGAGTGAAAAATCTACTGCACAATCGACATTGAAATCAACAAACTAATTACAGTTAAAACGAATTAGAAATCGGCAGAATTACTTCATAACTGGGAAATAATTAGGTAACCTACAAGTTTAAATGGGATTAAAAACGAAGTTTAGTAAATTTTCAACTCATTTCTATTCATCTTGTCGTTTCTTAATGCAGTTAACATCTATTATCATTGATAGAAACGTCAAGAATTAACCGGTGACGTTTTTCAAGATATGAACTTATTCTTGAGTGCTGTTAGAGGTATGAAGGCGGTCATCACTTCCCGGTTACCCATACCATGGAAACGTTCTTCTGGAGGTACCTGAAAAGGAAACTGGAGTAGAGGTGGTCTTAATAACCTGACAGCGTGACTGCAGTGCCCAAGGGACAACTGCTTGAGGTCGGTCACACATGACCTTTTAGTGGGTAATTTTCATGTTAGCTCCGTACTTGTCGAGAAATTACCACCGGAGACGGATATTCGTGGAATAAGGTGAGGTGTGCATTTTTAGGGTCGACCTTTTCTAACCCCACCCCTCCTTGTGGGAAGGCAGCATCGCTGCAGATGCTGGTTGTCTGAAGGAACCACCCCTTACTACTGTCACACCTCTGTACAGTCAACAGTACGACTTCGCCTTCGGACCTTGGATTTGCTACTTTTAGTCTTACCGCTCTTCAACCGACCTGTCTGACATGGTAGGACCTTGAGCGACGATTGTTCCAGCCAGCATAGCTCGATTGGTTAATCACGATAGGCAAGCCCGACCGCCACGTCAAGGTAGCAATAACGGTCAAACCTCATCTTGTTGTGTTAATGAGGTATGGCAACTTGGACTGATGCATATATGTGCCTGGTCCTACGTTGTACCTGACTGATGAACTTATTCACACAATTGACAAATAATTAATCAGGTTATATGTGCTAATATTATATGAATATAGTACAGTTAAGCTTACAATTTCATCGCATAAATGAATGCATTAGCCTACATATAATATTCTCTCTAATTACCATAAATCTACAAGGTTATCAACTAACACAATGTTAGATTGTTGTAGATAAACATGTATGCACTGTTAACCAAAATCAATGATATTCTACTACTTCAATTAGTTTTATACGCCCCCAACAGTCTACTATGGGAAAGAGCAAACTAGCTTCCAGCTGAAGAGGAAATTAGGAAAAGACGATGGAAATGGATAGGACATATGTTACAGAAATTATCAAAGTGCATCACGAGGCAAGCCTTAACTTGGAATCCTGAAGGGAAGTGGAAAAGAGGAAGGCCAAAGAATATATTACATAGGGAAATAGAAGGAGATATGAAAAGGATGAATAACAAATGGAAAGAGCTGGAAAGGATTGCCCAGGACAGGGTTGGATAGAGCGTGTAAGTGGGCAGCCTATGCTCTATCACGAGAAGTAACAGGCGTAAGTAAGCAAATAAGTAACCTGTTATGGATATCAACACTCTATAAGGCTAATCATTAATCGAAAATAGATTTCCTAAAGCTTTCTGTATATTAAATTCAAAAGGAATCAATGAGAAGTATAATATGACGCTAAATTCAGGAGATTAAAGAATATCAAAGCATTGGACGGAAATGTAATTGATTTAGAACAATATCACTTTTAGTTTTCAATTGTACACTACGATTGTTCTACACATTTGAACGAGAAAATCCGGACATACCGACCAGGGTTAATCCAAACAATCAGTGATTTCATATATTGATATTGTTGTGACTTTAAGGCCGGCTAATTATCACGTGATTTATTCGCCAATAGAAATACGACTTATACAATCTTATCACTGTGCTAAAACCAATGATGTTCGACCGGTATGAGTAGGTTAGCGTCCTTGTTGGTCCTTTGTTCGCCTGGCCCTGCAAGTTGAGTTCAGAAAACCAATAACAGCTTCCACTATGCGAATCATACTTGGTTTATATACCAGCCAAACAGACCTCATCACATCATAAAATACGAAATAACATTTATAAAAGATCTAGCCAAAAAGTGGCTGTGAACGTGGGAGACGGTAACCAATAAACTGAGTATAACTTAAGAACAGCAAATGGTATAAAAATAGTCTATAAGTCAAATGAAAGTTTATAATAAGAGGAAATATAAATATACGTAATCTAGTTACTGAACAGTTATACAGTAGGTATATATATAATATCAGTTCATTAATAGTTCTCAGAAGTTAACCGGAATTTAATCTTCACTAGGATATAACAGACATCATATCGTTGATTGACCATTCCCTGATTTCTTTGCACCTACGATTATTCCAGCCAGCATTGCATCTTGGAAGAAAAACTCGTAACGTATATTAAAATTTAAAAAAAACTAATTATGTATGAAATTAAACTTCAGCAATCCAATTAGCGTTTCCTTCCTCATCTGACAGGATGTGAATAAATTGGAAATCAACATTTAAACTGTTGGACAACTAGACAGTAATGTGCCTACTTTGGATTTTAAATTATACTGTTATATCGTTGGAATAATTTTATTGAAGAATTGATTCAACCTTTGAGTTAATTAGCACAGATCATCCGTTTATTCATTTCGACTATCATTTTAGAATGGTTACGAATAAATTTATAGAGTCCTATTTGTGCTAAATCACAATCTATCTTAATCAACAGGACGATGGTGTCCACTGAAATGCCCGCAGTTCAACAAGATATAAAGTATTACTGGTGGAGTGTATTGTACTGTAGAGACTCCAAACGTTCCTCGAAAACACTTCAAAGGAGCCTTGAATTCGCTGGGAAACATTGTATCCAATCAACATTGAACAGAAAGTGAAGACTCACATGTCACATTTATAATTGCCTATTCTGCTACTACGTTTAGTAGTGTTCCAGAACTTTCCAGAAGCCCGGAGCCATCAGAAATGCCATAAATACCCTAAATTTACTGTACATAAAATAACATTGGAGTAAAGCGTTCTTTCTATATGCCCCTAAATGCCCTGGTATGGCCGAGAGTGGCGAGAGTCCGCTCTCCCTCTCGAAATGCTCTCACATGGCCACGCGTATATAGCCTCTGCCAGGGAAGTCTTACTCACTACCTTCTCTCACTGGGGGTGTTGTTTACTAAAATGAGAGGACGAAAAGCGAATGTCCGGCGCTTTAACCGGATTCCAAATCAATGGTGCACATGGTCTCCAGTATCCTGAAGGAACCAATTTTCGGTCACCGGCTACCATGGGACTGCATCTCCTTACGATGCTCCACTGCCTTGTGGATCAGACCTTCAGGTCAAAGGCTCGGAGTGTGGCCTCCTAATAAAACCAGCTGCTTCGGTTTGGGCACCCGGGCAGTATCATAGCCCTCACACTTATCATATGCATTTAGTGCCTGTTTGTACCAATATCTATGTGTTAAAATAATAATAATAATCTATATTTCGCGCCTTTTCTCTTGTGTTCAAGTTGTCGTGTAGAGTTAGTCCGAGATTATTAGAAGAGCTTAGAAAAATAATTGAAGCTTTCAATCAGATGATTTATCAGTTGTCAGTGTATAAGCAATTGGAACGTCTCAGCCAAATCTATTTACAAGTTCGAAAATTAAACTAAGAACCTTTATTGAAATAAAATAAAACAAAACAATTCATTGATTCTTTAAATCCATAAACAACAAAGTATACGATCAAACTGGTATTTAAGAATAATAAATAAAAAAACATTACAATAAACAAAAGTAACCGATTTTCAATATGAAGTTGTGAAGATTGTTAACTTCCATTGAAATTATAAACCGATCTAACTTAAACCATCATTGGATTCAAAATCCTACATGTGAAATTATAGATGTACACCGTTGAAGAGTCTCAATATTAGGACGAAATGGCCTTCCAGTACTTCCAGCTTTACAATGGTAGTTTAAGTTAGATCAATTCATGATTTCATTGCAAAAGTAGACAAATTATTCAGATGATTAATGTGACAATAATTAATAATTTATTTTGTTTTTGGAAAAAATCGACAGTCAGGCAAATTAAAATGGTGAGAAAAATTAAGAATATATCAATTATTATTCTGAGTATTATTATTATTATTAGTAGTAGTAGTAATAGTAGTAGTAGCAGGGAGTATGATCATTGAACAGGGTTGATCATGTACACAATATTCCGTCTGATGAGACTGCTTCCTCTAGGAGCATGAGAGCTATATATATGTATATGACTTGAGAGAATTAGATTCATTGTATCCTGTAAAAAGTAGGCAAACAGAAAGAACATGGTAAACAAATGAAAAGAAAGTATGATGTTGTATAACTAACAATTAAACATGAATAAAACTGTTATTATCTTAAAGGTTGATTTCTTGATATACCGCGTATAACAGAGCACTAGAACACCAAAACCCTTCCAAGACGCAGTAAGAAGACAGAAGACTAACGAAAGGAATACTATTCCAAACAGTATCAATTATAGTACAAAATTGTCAGACATTTATATTTTTTAGTAAGAACGAAATCATCATTACAGTCCACCAATCCGCGTACATGGGATTATTACCATTGACCAATCAGGAGGCTACACGTTGAATTCTAGAATATTCTTCAGAAAGGTGATTAGATGGAATATCTTCGGCTCCTTCTGAGCCTCCTACAGCTTCCTCGAGCTCACCCGTGGTCCGTCATCGCAAAAACAATGAGAATCCCAAATAATTTTGAGATTTATTTCATGAAATGACTTTAGTTAAGTAATCATTGAAAGTGAAATGAATCTGCTTCATTTACATATCTGACTTCACAACAAGGTGTACATACACCTATAATCATTGTTAGTATGGAAGGTATATGAAGAATGGCTGTACAGATTGATTTGAAAATCTTGGATTTAATCACCGGTGGGGTAATAGCATGAGCACTGTTAACGTATTCTGTAATAGAATAAAACAATTGTCCAATGTTGCTTGGTTTTCAGTAAATGTCTAGCTGAATTCAGTTCATGTTGTAACCTGTGAAATGGTTAATAATTTCTATAAATCCCTTACACATAAGTTTAATTGTTTTAAACTTATATGAAAAATATGCAGTGAATATATAATTACTGATATATTTTGTTAAGAAAAACGTTTTGAATGAACAATTATTCCAACTTGGAAGATATAACTACAATAATTTACACATGGTATATACATAAGATATGATGAGATGGCTGGGATACGTGTTACGTATGCCCAATCACCGACTGCCCCGACGTGCGATGTTCAGTGGTATAGGAGTAGGTTGGAAGAAAGCTAGAGGCGGCCAAACCAAAACATGGCACAAGTCCATGAAGTCACTGACAAGTGGACTGAGTCATGTTGGTAGGTGTAGACTATCTACTTGGGACCCGCGAGATGATAGTAACCGATGGTTAGAGACCTTGAATGACATGGCTCAAAGTCGTTTGCAATGGCGCATGTGCATCCACTCTTTGTGTTCTTCCAAATTCTAATCTTCTGAATTTTTCATGTACCTTTAATTTTCCTCTTTGCAAATTTATTTCACTGGATTATACTCCTTGACTATCATCTCCAAACCCTAATGTTTTCGATTGCTGCTTATACTTTCACTACCTCTACCCTACCACGATGGGATTTGAACCGACAACTGTATCTCTGTGTCAATGTGTTACGGCAACTCGAACTGATGTACGTGTGTACCAAGTTCTACGTTGTTACTGACTGACTATAAAATATGTAATAAAACAGTGAATAATGACCACAAATAACATTGTATTATGATAAAGAATAATCGAATTGAAACTTACTTATATTGTGAATCAATAGGCCAATTTGGAGGTTTACGATTCATAATAGTTTGTAAGAACCAATCAGTAGATACTGTAAGTAATGAAGATAAAGCGCGTAAAATTGGAGTGGTTTGTTTGCATTCTTTTGAATTTCTTGAAAGTCGGGAATGTTTACAAGATGATTTTGAATTCAACAATAACATAGAATGATATTCTTCTTTAGTTGTGATAATAACTGATTTAATAGGCTAGTTAATTGCAATAGTAAGAAAGAGAAAAAGAGATTACCATGGGAAAATAAAATCAGATCATAACGAGAAATCAAAATCTAAAAGAATTTTCTTATTATGACTGTGAAATGAATCTTTGTAAAACAGTCGTCAATTACATATTATGTCTTCTTGAAGTTCATAGGTTCTCTTGCTTATACTCACATCATACTAATACAAAATTGGTTGACAAAAACAAACATAAAAAGTAATCATTTCATGCACACGATAGGTTACCTTTATGAAAGGTTTTTTACTTAACCAGATCATTGAATTCCAAATCGGTAGTTCAATAATGATACTAGTATGGGAATCCTTAGAAGTGCACATCCGCGAATCTCACGGGGTGTGGGGTCGTGGACGAAACGGCCGTCCAATGCTTCCAGGTTTTCCATGGTGGTCTAGCTTCAATCGACTCATGATTTTAACAAGTGAAATTTCTAAAAATCTCCACAAAACCCATCCTGATAATAATAATCACCTACTCACTAGTGACTGAATTCAGGAGACACTCCTGGAGTTCGAGTGAGAAGTCGTTACCTGTGGAGTTCAATCAGGACTGTTGTGAGATATCAGCTCACTGAAGACAATGGTGTACGCTGGAGCAACTTCGTGGATTGGTTGAAGTTGGACGTTAACTCCGTTGAATGCCGGCCACCTCAGTGGTCTAGTTGGTTAGGCGCCTGGCGCGAGACTGATAGTTCCTGGATTCGAATCTCGCGGGGTGCAGGATCGTGGATGCGCACTGCTGAGGAGCCCCATACTAGGACGAAGCGGCCATCCAGTGCTTCCAGGTTTTCCATGGTGGTCTAGCTTTAATTGACTCATGATAATCATGAAACTATAATGTTCTATTCTGTTATAACGCTCGGTTTTACTTTGTCTAATGTTATAACGGTTGAGTTTCCAACGTTTACACGTATGGGACGTCAATTTACCTTAAACGATTATCTACACTAGATTCCCTCCTAGTGTCTATTCTACAGGACTTCAACACAACTCAGATGATCAAGAACACGTGATTAACCTGACCACAACGTAAATATATTTCCACAGTAAAAACCCGACACAATCCAACAACAATGAACAATCAATAATAAGTAAGTGTCATTATAATAATAAGGATAAGGGATTACATAACTCATCCGACACCTGTCAGACTATCTACATATCTGACTAAGTAGACAACCAATCATTATCATTCTCGCCCACACACCATATTCAATTTCTTAATACATATAATGATGGAGAATCCTAGTGAACGAACTATTCTCCTCCTCGAGGGATAATAGGAGTACGTAAGTAAGTAATATGACATGATAAGTAGGAACTGTTGAATTTAGATAATACAGTTGTGTTTAATGGTTACTGTATTTGAATGATAAAATCTTCATACGAATTGATTACATAATATTACTTAAGTTTTTATCAAATTTTATCGATTAAGTCTCCATTTCATCAGTGTATAGGTATAGGTATAAGTGACTGAAAATTACATATTTCGTAATTGATCGTATAAAAACAATTAGAAGTCAGTGATAAGCAACATAGAAAATGCCATATGTGTGTGTATCAGTTGATTAGATAAAAATTGTCAAGACAAAACCCAGATTAATAGAAGTAGTAACTGTATAGTTAATATTAAAAAGGAGATAAAGAGTAAATGTGTCTATGCCAATGAAACCGATTTTCAGTCATGTGAACTAATTTCATCAACCATTTGGTTACGATAATCTGAGACACTAACCTAGTAATCTGAACTGACCAATATAGAACTGATAAGTCTTGCGGATTGAACGCTATATTGGTCTCCTAAGCTAATCTGTAAACCAGAAGCTAGAACTATACAGCGACCTGAACACGAGAGAGAAGACTCAAAGTATGCGAGAAGTGGTTTACTTCAAAGGTTCATTTCAACACAGGAAATACAGGGTTTTTATAATATTTTAAATGTCCTTGGATTGCTAGAAAATTCTGGAATGCTACTAAACATAGTAACAGTGTAGCAGCCAGCCAATCAGAGCCTCTGCATGTGACGCTTCGTTTCCTTGATATTTCTGGCCAAGCCTCCACGTGAACGCTGATTGGATGAAGCGCTTCCTAGTGTTTCCTGATGCTTGCTTGTCTTTTGAAAGCAATTTTCTGGATCACCCCAACAAGAACAGATTAAAATTCAATGACTTCATAACTGATCCAATCTTTAAGTTAGAGTATCTCTAGTTTCCTTCCAATCTGTTACTAGATCAGACAATCTCCATCGTCTGGATAAGCGGTGTTTGGATATATGTAACACTTGCCCTAATCACTTCATATTTACTGTGTACCTTGTGTTCAACTTCAGAATTGATAACTTAATGAATAAAATATTCATGAGCAACGCTTCAAAGGAGTCTTGATCAAATTACTAACAGGCTATAAGTATTCTCTATTTTTCTTTGAAGATCTCATTTCACAGTTCTAAGTTAAAACAGAACGAACTGTTATGCAATATACTCAGCAATAACGAAAATACTAACAAAAAAATGAAGAAAAACAACAAGAATCTTACTATATCATTCAAATTCTTCATAGCATTACATAAATCTTCATCAGACATCCAATAACCACCAGCAAACTCTGTAAGTTTTTGTAAATCCATAGAAGATGGTAAAACATTTGGAGTTGAACAAAAAGACCAACCACATAAGAATTCATTTGTTTCTTCAAATTGGTTTATTTGTTCATTTGTAGATAATTTCATCACAAATGAGGAATGACATCGTGTAGACTGTTCACTTGAAACTGTAGTATGCATAGACTGTGTATTATAATAATGTAATTTAAAATTAAGTGGATCTGAGCATAGAATTTTATTGAAGGAATTCCATGTTGAAATTACATAAAGGAACATAAAAAAATCAAATTTTAAAACAGAACAATGAATAAACTAGAAACAAAAGCGAATGTTAACAAGTTAGTTGAAATTATTGTACGTAAGGAATAGTACAAGTGGATTGGATTAGTTGCCTAACTTCGACAACTGGTGAAATAATCCTGTTTTGATTCATTCTTAGGTTAACTATAAATATTACTTACTTACTTACGCCGGTTATTCCTAATGGACTATAGGCCGCAGAGCAGCATTCTCCAACCCACTCTGTCCTGAGCCTTCTTTTCTAATTCCATCCAATTCTTGTTCATTTTTCTCATGTCTATCTCCATTTCCCGGCGTAATGTGTTCTTTCCCTTTGGCCTTGAGGATTCCATGTGAGGGCTTGTCTTGTGACACAGTTGGGTGCATTCCTCAATGTGTGTCCTATCCACTTCCGGCGGTTCTTCCTGATTTCTTCCTCCACTGGGATCTGGTTTGTTCTCTCCCATAGTAGGTTGTTGCTGATAGTGTCTCGACAATGGATCGGAAGTATTTTGCGTAGACAACTGTTAATAAACACCAGTATCTTCTGGATGATGACTTTCGTAATTCTCCAAGTTTCTGCGTCATACAGTAGAACTATCTTGATATTTGTATTGAAAATGCTGATTTTGGTGTTGGTTGACCGACAGTTGTTTTGAGTTCCAGATGTTCTTCAGCTGTAAATATGCTGCTCTTGCTTTACCGATTCGCGCTTTCACATCTGCATCAGACCCATCATGTTCATCAATGATGCTGCCTAGATATGTAGAGGTTTTTACATCTTCCAAATCTTCTCCGTCAAGTGTGACTCGGTTGTTGCATGTTGTGTTGTATCGGAGAATTTTGCTTTTCCCTTTGTGTATATTGAAACCTACTGCTGCTACACTGGTCGTCTTCTCCTGCATTTGTTGTTGCGTTTGGGATAGAAGTGCCAGATCATCTGCAAAGTATAGATCGTCTAACTGCATCCTAGATGTCCACTGTATTCCCGTAGAAAACTAACTCGCTAAAAAACACTAACCAGGAACTATAAATATACACATTGATTATAAATACTTTATTCAGGCTTTTTAATAATGCAGACTCCTATGTTATTTGAATCTAATACCGATGGATGGTTAAGCTGGAGTCAAGTATTAAGGAAGTAAATAGCAGCTGAATAGAACCGTACATCATAAAAACGGTATTACTTATATATAATGAGATTAGCGAATACGCATTGTTAGATTGTCAACTATTGAAGTTTATAACGAATGTGTATAAGAGATAAAGCTGTACGCTGTTGACTGGGAACGCTGTCAAACATACAGTGGAGAAATCGATATAGTATGCATGTAATTTTAAGATAAGATAGTAGATTATTCTTCTGAACTAAGTGAAGAACACGTATACTGTCGTCGGAGTAGAGGCGGTCTTAGTGACCTGAGAGTTTGACCGTAGTGCCCAACGGACAACTGCTTGAGGTCGGTCACACATGACCTTTTGGTGGGTAATTTTCGTGTTACCTCCGTACTTGTTGAGAAATTACCACCGGAGACGGATATTCGTGGGATAAGGCGAGATGTGCATTTTTAGGATCGACCTTTTCTAACCCCACCCCTCCTCATGGGAAGGAAGCATTGCTGTTATGTTGGTTGTCTGAAGAAAACGCCTTACTGCCTTTACACCTCTGTACAGTCAGCAGTACGACTTCTCCTTCGAACCTTGGGTTTGTTGCTTTTAGTCTTATCACTCTTCAACCGACCTGTCTGGTATGGTAGGACCTTGAGGAACGATTGTTCCAGCCAGTATAGCTCGATTGGTTAATCACGATAGGCAAGCCCCATCACCACGTCAAGGTAGCAACAATGGTTGGGATGAAAATGCACATCCAGAATTTTACAATGTTAGCTACTTTTTAAAATTAAACTAGGAAATAACAAATTATCATAGCTATATGAAATGACAAACCTAAGCATAAACATGAAGAAGAAAAAGAAATGAATTATTATTCACCTGGATTTGAACCTTTACGAGATTGTTTACATGCTTTTAACCATTCCACTGAAATAATTGGTATACCCCGTGCTCTAGCATATAATACTTTTAAGGTACGTTTAATTTGATCAGTAATTAAATAGTCAGCAAGTGTAGGATCTTCTGTTTCAAATGCATTCAGTTTTTTTAGAATGTTTGAATAACTTGAAGATTCAACACCACTGAATACTAATTGAATGGAATTAGTCTGTGGAGAATAGAATATAAAATTATTATTATTATTATTATTATTATTATTATTATTATTATTATTATTATTATTATTATTAACAAAATGTTTCCTTTTCGCGAGAGTTAAGAACGAATCGGTGTTTGAAGTGATGATCGATTAGTAAGAAATAACAGTGAGACCATAATTTATGGACGACGTTTGAGCGACGCCTAAGTGACCCTGAGAATGTTAATTGTTCATCCTATTCATAACATGTCTTGATAATTTTTATCTGACTATAAATATTGAGTCACGCTTGATCAAATGGAGTTGGCTCACTCGTCTTTACCGCTGCGTGTCACTTCGTTCCTCTGATTGTCTGTTTGGATCAATAGCTGTGCAAAATATACTTATTCAAAACTCATTCTCGTATTCAACTTATTTTATTCCATTATTCTGTAATGCAAATTAAGTCGATAAAAATATATGAGGATTGGTAGCATGCATATTTCGACAAAAATTAGGATATGATTTAACAGGAGTCAGGCATAGGGTCACGAATACCTCACTTGCGGTGCTGACGTAATGTACAGCAAATCCTACAGATACACATTTATATCAGATAATACATTGACGATAAGTAACAGACTAAAAGCTGGTTAAGAAGAATGGGATAATAGATAGCGTACTGACAGTGAAATCTTAAGTTTTTTATGACCGAATGCATGATTAAACGATAGGAAAATACATCACGTTTACAAGTTCCTATAAATCAGATTAATTGAATAGTACCAATTACATTACACTATATTCCATTAAAATACTAGTTATTAATCAAAACGAAAAGTCATTGATTTCGAAGAATTTTCCTTATATACTGAGATAGTATCTTGTAATGTTTCAGTCAATGAAAATAACTACTTAAGTGAGAACAAGTAGCATATTTTATATTGCAAGCAAAACTTACAGTGTTGGTTCTTGATGATCCAGTGGATGTTGAAGAAGTATTATTGAAATCAGTATTTGATATTTTAGGAATTTCTTCTTTCGGTTCATTTGTAGATGTTGTCATCCGTATTTTTCGTTGGTTTTTTGCGGTATTTTCTGGTTTTAAATTGATTAAAACGCTACTCCTAGTCCTTCTACTACTACTACTACACTTATCTTCTGGAATACTCACAATAGGTGGTATATGATGCTGCAACGTTGAAGCAACAGCAAGGGGAGGTTTATTACAACTTTTATCAGACTGTACAATAAGTCGTGTAGATCGTCGAATAGGCATTTCAGGAGAGTTATTCTTCACTTCAAATTTTGACTTCCTCGAATTCTGTTTAATTGTTTTATCTGTAGGCAATGATAGATTATTTTCTTTGGGTATAGATGATAATGTTTTCCTAGTTCTACCTACCTTATTATTATTATTATTATTAGAATTTTTGTGTACTAGACAATCCTTACTATCATTATTAGCACTATTATTGGTAGCTGAACTAGTAGTAAGCGATGTGAATGCTCTTTTTCTTGTTGTACATGAATTTCTCAGGTTTCTTTTAGGTTTCATAAAAACAGGTGATGATGTATATTCATCAGACAACGATGTTATTGGTAAAGTAGAAGTAGGAAATAATGGACTAAACTGTTGTTGTTCATTACTGCTTTTTGCTTCAATACAAATTTTAGCATTAAATGAATTAGGTGTAAGATCAGAAAATGATGGTAGAGATAGGCGTTCGCCATTATTTAATGTATTCTTCACTAAAGGATCCTAAATTTGGAGGGAAAAAAATAGATGGTAAATTTTGAAAGAGACAATGACAGTGAATATATTCTCATCAAACGAAGATAGGAAAATTTATCAAATTTTCACAATGTTTACATTTATGTATTCGGTTTTGAAGCATACCTTTTTGATGCATAACAGTTGATGATACTATCCATTGGGAAGAAATAAGACAAGGAATTATAATCTAATAAGCATCAAAATGGTTAAACGATTCTGTGGTTGGGAAAGAATTAAGTTAATCTCTAAATATGTAACAAAATAGAAAGAATTTGCCGAGGCTAGTCATATTTGTGTGTAGGTTATTGATAATGTTCAGACCCTTAGACCGAAGCAATTGGTTTCTTTTTAGGAGAATCATTTCCTGAGCTTTCGACAGAAGGAGGTTATGCTACAAGATAGTCGAGCAACTTAAAGAAATGCAATATTAAGGTACTAGGTGATCAAACTAGGTTAATATGCCATTCGTCCAGTCATGATCTCAGATTTCAAGTATATTATTGGTTTAGAATAAAGTAAATACAGAGTGGGAAAGCAGGAGGATCTGACAATATACCAGAGATAGAAGCAACTGAAAACATGCTCCATGTTCTATTCAGGAAGATTTAAGAACGAGAACGAGAGCCGATCGACTAAAAGTAGATAGGACATACATTGAAGAAGTTATCAAGCTACATCACGAGGTAAGCCCTAACTTGGAATCCCGAAGGGAAACGAAAAAATAGAAGGTCGAAGAACACACTGCTTTGAGAATTAGAAGCAGACAAGAAAAGGATGGATAGCAACTGGAAAGAGCTGTAAAAAAAAGATTGCCCAGGACAAAGTTGGATGGATTATTCTGGTGAGCGGCTCATGCTCCTCCGTGAGGGGTAATAGGCGTAAGGAAGTAATTACAGAGAGGTAAAAGACATAGTTTATATTGTAACTTACATTCTCTGGTGATTCATCAAAACCAGCTAATTTGACAGCAGATTCTAAAATACATGATTTATTTTTATGGATATTATTGTTGATAGTTTTGATTGATGAATTATTTGTTTTCGATGGAGAAATATTTGATTCATTTTTCATTTGTTCTAATTTTTCATCAAATAATTGAGAAGGTTCTTCGCTTAAAATACTTCCTGATAAATGTAATGGACTAGGAATATGTGGTGCACGAGGTCGATTATAACTTGATTGATTAGTAACTTTTTTAGTATTACAATTGACATCATTATCATGATGTATAAGAGACCATGAACACTTCCAATCTTGTAGTTCCGAATCTGAATTAGGACTATCTAAATGAATTGATGAAATAACTGATGTGAATTTTTGTTTATTTTTTCGACTACGAAACTTTACAGTACCTAAAGAACCTGGTAAAGTACAATTGGTAACACGTTCAGAAGGTCGATTTCGGATTGATCTAGTGGAACGAAATAATGAACATTGTTCAATGTAACGACGAAGTTTACAATCATTATCATCAGGTGTTAATTGAGATCGCTGAGATAGAAAACAGAAGAAAATTTAAATCGTTAGCATTCATAATCTTTGTTAAAAAAACAATATACTAAGTGAAACCAGTTAAATTGGATCCTGGTTCAGCGGTTTATTATCATTATTATTAGCTTTATTCAATATTATATTTTGGGTACAATATAGAGTTCTGAGTACAAGGTATTTCAGCGAGCTTCCGTTACCTATTTCTTGATCGATATTGACGATAAATATTGAATGATTGCCAGTTAGATATGAGCGTTTCAGAAGTCGACATCTGAATAATATTGATTCTTTTCAATGCATATTGCCAGCAATCACGATGTCTCCGATTTTAAACTTTTGTAACTTGTACAGCAAAGGGTCGTAAAATTTTCACAAACGCACCCGAACAGGTTAGGGTTTGCATGTGAAACCGAGAGTCCTTGGTTCGACTCCAGCGTGGAGGGTTGTGGATGTGCACTGATGACGAAACGACCATCTAGTGGTTCCAGGTGTTCAATGATTGTCTAATTTAATCGGTTCGTGATTTCAATGAATTTCAACAATCTCAACAACTCCAAGCTGACAATTAAATAAATGTTAATATATTTCACTAAACTATTAGCAGAATATCGACCAACTCTCTGTTATTCAGTATTCATTACAAACACTCTTATAATCATTAATATTCATTTAAGACTAATTGTAGATTGTTCTATTCGAATGCATAATATATGTGATAATATAAGTACAATAAAAGATTATAACGCATTCCAATTTATCAATCTCAATATGTTTTACAATAAATAATAATTCACTGATCAATTGTATTCTAAACATTAACAATGGGAAAATCTAAACATTTACAAATCAATGAATTAGGTTAGATCCAGTCAATCAGTCAGTAACAACGAAGAACTTCGTACCATAGTAATCAACACAATCGCATTATTGGAAACCGACTGTAGGTGGTAACTTGATGTGACGGTGGAAGAGACCTTATCGACCTATTTTGTCTGGATTACGTTTTCCCATATCCTAGAACGTCAGGTAGGTCGGCTTGTGAGTGGTAAGACGAAAAGCAGAAAAATTAAGATCCCAGGGGAAAGTTGCAGTGATTACTGTAGTGGAATTTAACAGCAGTAACAGATTTCCCTCAGACAATTAGGATCTCCAGAGATCCTAGAGAAATACAACGCTACGAACAACAAACAATTTAACATATGAACTTCAGTCGCCGGATGTAAATCTCAAGATTATGGAACTAATACATCGAGAACTAGCAAAAAAGGTCATATGCGACCCATCTTAAACAGATGTCTAGTGGAATTCGAAGTCATGGTCACATATCACTAATAACAGCTTTATTTTCAGGTTTATCAAGAAGAAATATCCTTTCATGAAGTGAGTGATAGCTGCCTCCCCCACCCTTTTATTAACATTTAAGATCCGGTTCAGTATTGGTTTGAAGGCATGGATATAGTGATTTTCTCCAATAGAAAAACAACGAAATATTTGTGATCAAACCACCGTCTAGCACAGACAATGCAACATCTTACCTATAATCATTTGTTTTAATTATACATTTTATTGATCACATAATTCAACCTCACTAACAAAATAAAGCGATATGAAATAAAAAGAGTATAAAAACTAACCTCACTAGTAACATCATACTTAGATGTAGGTATTGACTGGGGTATATCAGTTTTTGCCAGTTCTGAGACAGCTAATCGTTGTTGTTCAGTGTGTAAAGGACTTTCAACAGATTGCTCCATACTTAGCTGATTTTTAGGCTTTGAATTACACCGTTTTTGTTTTGTGATAGTATTTGTTTTATAATCTGTACCCCGTATATTACGTTTTGATGAAGTAAAACAACTGGATTTAGTATTTTTCTTCCTAATATTATTATTAATAAGATTGTTATATTGAACTTTTTCAGACAAAATCTCAGTATGAATTATATCCGATCCCCATTCTTGAGATAAAACAATATCAGCCTTCTTCTCTGAAAAATTATGCTTTATTGTAAAAGATAATGAATATGATTAGCGAGAACCATACCACATATATACTAATTGAACTCACTAGATTTTTTTGAGAAAACCGTATATGTTACTATCATATATTACATAAGTAGTTTCAGATATTCTTGTGAATTAATCATGGTTATTAGTTCAATCGAAGTCATTAAAATATTATCAGAAGCACAGTTTATTTCAATTAATTTTAACTAAAGCTATTTCATTAACTAAACAACTATCATGTATAGAAAACGTTGACACATATTAATTATCAACCAGTATAACTAACAATGTGTATTATAAAAAGAGATGGTTTAGTGGCGAGCAATGGAATCAAGGACGCGCGTTTAGTCTTACTTGGGTCTCGTCAGCTGGATGAAACTGCATTCTAGAGTTGGTATTTACTTCCAGTACCGTTCGCACGTACATCCAGCTGATGAGTTACAAATAAGATGAAAATAACCTCCTGAATTTCGCTACAAGCCACCATCCATCTCTGTTTATAACGCTTATGATATAAGGCAATTTCGAGGCAATTCACACAGGATGCACATATGTCAATGACGGATCAATTGAAGTCCTAAACATCAATGGGAACATTAAAAAAATCAATACAAAACAGAATATCAATGAATACTTTTCGATTCTCAAGACTATTCAGCAGTTCAGTAACTCAGAAGGAAAGTTGAATAATCACAGTTACAACTATAAAACTAGAAATTTCCACAAGGTAGGTACGGAAAATATGAGGTGGCGTCTTAATGTCTACAGATTTGAACCTCGATCCATCCACTTTTACTTAAGTAGTAGAGCCGCTTCATTAACCGTTGTACAAATAGTGTGGCTTATATAAATAAATACATAGTGAACAAGAGTTCGGACCTGCGATCCACGAGTTGTGCGCTCTAACTGTTATTAATAAGATATAGTCTCAAGGTTATCTGTGGGCAGGAGTCATGAAAAAGTACCCATGTTTTGCGAGCATCGTTGACTTTACAGTACAGCCTAAATACTTCTATTCCCAGTGTAATAAGATAAATATCAAACAGGATAATTCAAAAAATCATAACTATTATGATAAACTTCCACCAAAAAAGGGTGGCAGCAAGTGGCAAAACATTGTTGTATCTTAGTCTGTGATAAGATTAAGTGATTAAATCATTTCCAAAAGACTCATTTGGCGATAACAGTGAGTAACCTGTGGATCTAACTAGGCTGGAGGTGCGAATATATCATAAATAAAACAGAATGTGTAGTATTATGTTATCCCACAAACTGACTAAAAATAAAAATATGGAGAACTGAATACCAACTAAGTGAATTAAAAAACAGAGCTTGTCAAAAAGAACTTGAATACCGTTGCTTTATGAACAAGTAATGTTGAGATGTACCAGACAAGGAGGAAGCAGCTGTTTACTAATACTTTCTAAACCTTATCACTTACGTTGTTGTTTTGCTATTCAAGCTCAATATCGTACTTGTACAACCATGATTTATTTAATAGATTTGGGTTGGGTTGGCAAAAATTGGAATGATTTTTGCGGAGAAATTTTTACTTAAACTTAAATATTTATCTAGAATCATATACTCCGAAGACAGTAATCGTTTGAACAATGAATAGTTAGAAGCAAAATGCATACTAATCGAAGAGATGTGAGGAAAAACGACGAAAAAAACAACAGCAACAAACAAACAGCAGCTATTGGTTGAGATCTTGAACCAATTGTTGTTAAACCACCACTGGAAACTTGGAAGTACTGGACGGTCGTTTCGTCCTATTGTGGGACTCCCCAGCAGTGCGCATCCACGATCCCGCATCCCGCGAGATTCGAATCCATCTTCCATTGTAATGAGGTTGGTGGTCGCGTAATTTCGTGGATTGGTTGAGGTTAGACATTAAAACCATTGGACGCCGGCCGGCTCACTAGTCTAGTTGTTAGGCGTTCGCGCGCGAGACTGAAGGCTCTGGGTTTAAATCCCGCGAGCGGGGTTGTGTATGCGCACTACTGAGGAGTCCCACAATATGACGAAACGACCGTCCAGTGCTTCCAGGTTTTCAATGGTGGTTTTACATCAATCGGTCCAAGATCTCGATCAATAAATTAATCTCCAAAAACCTTATACTGATAAAACAGCAGCTATGACAATAATAAAAATTATAAAACTAACTTCATTAGTTTTAAAAGGTGAATCATTGTGAATATTTTGATCTTTATTAGATATACTACTGTTATTACGAAATTGATCATCTTGATTTTGTATGCCATAATGAAAAATTTGAAGATTTTCTAAGGGCTGTAATGTTACTGTAATATTATTACAAACAATATCATGATCGTTAACAGTGATCAAGCCACAATGTTCGTTCTTATTATTGATAATTGTAGTAGTAGGAGTTGTTGTTGTACACAAGTTAGTTGATTTCACCTGAAAAATATTTAAAACAATAACAAGAGAAAAAGAGAACTAGACAAACATAAAACTGGTCAATAATCAGTGATGATTAATTATTGTTACATATCTAAATCCTATAGGAGGCCAGTTAATGTTTCAATAGCTCAGTGGTAGTATTGTGGTGCGCGCTACTTATATTGATATAAGTAGTATATGACGCGAGTCAGGAATGTAATGCCTGGCAGCAGAAAATGGGGGAAGATCAAGAAAGCAAGAGCGGAAATAGAATGCAATTTGTATGAAAATGCAAGGACAATGAAGTCTGAAGCATTTTGAAACAATTGGTGGACATTTTGCAAATTAACGATTTGATATATGGTTCTGAGATTTTATTGAGATGCTCTGTATTGTGTGTTAAATACATTCGCTTGTTCCCACCCGTGTTCTGTTCACTACAGCATCTCTCAGAAGGCAGTAAACTGAGTGGCTTGTGTTCATTCCCACCAGAGAGTATCAGTTTCTTGAAAACTGATGTTATACCTTAATAATGATTACCAAGTAGGATAAAAAAAGGAGTCACAACTCGTTAGCACAACAAAATGAACGCCAAATTGCTAGTAGTTGCTTCAATAATAGGAATATATAAAATAAAGACTGTATATAAGAATATGATACAAGGAGGAAATCAATTCGTAGAAAGAAAGGTGAAAAGTAACTTCGATCTCACGGTTCAAGGAAAGACAAAGAGTGTATACACCTACACCATTGTGATCAATTCTGAGCCATGTCACCAAGAGTCTCCAACCATTGGTTACGATAGTCACGCGGACCCCAACCAAGTAGTCTGCATCTACCAACATGGCTCATACCAGAAGTTAGTGACTGTATAGAGTGATGCCACATTTTGGTTTGGCCACCCCTAACTCTCTTCCAACCATCCCGAACACTAGTTAGCATTGCGCGTCTTGGTAATCGGTGTTCAGGCATACGTAACACGTGGCCCAACCATCTCAGTCGATGAAGATTTACAACCGCATCAACTGATTTACCATCATTCCCTAATACCCTGTGTCTAACCTCACTATTACTTACCCGATGATCCCAGCAGATGCGAGCAATATTTCTAAGGCATCTGTGGTCAAATACTAGTAGCTTACGAGTGTCTTTTACTCGTAATGGCCATGTTTCGCTTCCGTAAATTAAAACAGAACGAACTGCCGCGCAGTATACTCGTCCTTTTATTGATAGACGGATATCTCGCCTTCGCCATAGGTGACGTAAGTTGGCAAAAGCCAAACGAGCTTTTCGAATCCGTGTTGAGATTTCGTCAGACACCAACCCATTAGGGCTGATCAGACTTCCAAGATAAGTGAAGTTGTCAACGAGTTCGACTACTTTACTCCCTATCCGTAGTTCAGGTGTTGATGCAGGCCAGTTCGGGAGCAACAACTCGCATTTAGAGGGAGAGAAGTGCATTTCAAACATTCTGGCATTGTTACTCAGTGCTACCAAAACACTCTCCATTTTATCAGCGTCTTCACCAAACAGGACTATATCATCCGCGTATTGTAAGTTGATAAGTGGACCTCCAGGTAGGAGATCAATGCCCAAAAATTCACTCTCATGTATGAATAAAAATATCTACCAGATAATGTCAGTGGTCCATAATGAATAAATATGCCATTGAACTGCACAAATTCCAACAACAAAAACTTATTTCAAATGAAAACATAAAGCATCCTACCTGTATATTTTCTTCTTTTTCTGGACAAATACCACTGAATATTCGTGATTTTCTTGAACCGTAATTGTCATCAACTACAATTTGCAAGGAATCATTACTTATATCTGATTCATTCACATGTTGAACTGTAGAGTGACGATCGGAATTTGAAGTGAACCCATTATTATTATTATTATTATTATTATTATTATTATTATTTAAATCAACAGCTGACCCGTTCAGAATAAGTTCGTTTTTTTCAGGTTCACTGGTTTCATCTATGCTAGAAAAAAAAACAATAGTACGTGATAAGTAGAAACGTTCAATCTATCAAGAAAATAAGTGCTTCCTGAATAACAGCGTAATAAACGCGAGTTATATATGAAGGCAGTGAACTCGATCGATAATGTAAATTTAATATAGAGGAACGTTATGTTGAAACTTACGATCACACAGATGGAAGATTAGAGGATATGAGTTAATAGACTGGAGACTAGACCACTTGATTAGTAAACTAGATAATAATAGATCACGATACTACGCGTCAATTGAGCCCAGATACACAAAGTCCAACTAAGAATTACAATCAGACAATGGGACAGGATGATACTTCATTGACATAAACTACAATCCATCAATGAAGTGAGAGAGATGTCTGATTTGTATGTCGCCATCTCAAAATAGCACTCTAACCCTTACCTTACCTTAACTGGTCTAAGTATATTTAGTACTTTGTTTACTACAAAAAATAGCTCTGAATAATTCAGAATAACAAACAGAAACCAGTCTGAAAAAAAATTTAAAAAATACCTTTTAGCTGCATTGCTTGTCACTAGATCACTCTCCTCAATAGTAAATACTGACTCTTCAGCAGACAAACAAGTAGACGAACGCATAGTCAATCCAAAATGATTATCCATTGATTGAACAATACAACCTGGATCAGAGTCTCGTGCAAGTAGGACGTTTGCTCGATTGTATGTTAAAGGAGTTGAAGCTGTTTCGTTTGTTAGGATCATAGGAGTAGCAGAAACAACATCACTAGATGAAAGATGATTTTTAATCGATTTAGTCAACAATTCCAATGGAGTAGCATCAATGATATAACCTTTAGATTTCCTGACAGATTCTGTGGTTGATGAATCTTTAAAAAAGAGTGAAACATAATTTGGTCTTATACTGAATTCATTATTTAAAGTATGGGCGAAAATCATAAGATATCCCTGTAATGATAAACATTATTTGAGAGATATCCTAGTTAGATAGTTAACAAAAGTATATCTTTTCATTAGGATGAAAGGTTTATGGAAAGTGTTTAACTTGACTGAAGTTTATATCACAACTAAACGACCATTGGAAGTCAGAGAGAACTGGATAGCTATATTTGTTCTACCATGTGACCTCTCATCAGTGCGCATACCGGTGGTAGGAAATCAAAGCCTTAAGCCTCGCATAGGGAGAAATTCCAATAGTAGTGCAGCTAAAGTCTTTCCGTGACGTGAAAAGATAATTTACGTCTTGACTAATCATTCGAGTATGAAAGTATTAGTGAAAAGGTTTGTGACATTTTATATTGCAAATAAAATAATCAATAAATAGAATGTTATTTCCCGAGCTCCCAATTTTGGGGATTTCCCCAGGTCTGGGGAAATTTTGGGGTTTTTGTGCCATTTCCCCAAAATGTGCCAAATTTTTTCCAAAATTGGGAGATCGGGTTAAAACAGAAATAAACTAATTTGCTATACAACAAGTAAATAATCAAAAGATGATAAACGACAAATTTTAGCCTACTTTGGTATGATTCACTTTCTAAATGAACATCATTTTCAGTATACATATGAAGTTTACAATTTTTAACTGATGATGAACTTTCATGCATTTCATGTTGTAACAGATTAATATCATTTTCATTTTTTAAGAGTTCAGTTTTTTTAACATCTGAATCTGTACTGCTTGATAAAGAAGGTGAATAACTATCAATGAAGCGATTGGGATTTGGCAATAAATCTTGTGAAACTTCACCAGTATTTACAACAATTTCAGCTAAAAGACGTTCACTAAAAACTGAACAATCACTGTCATCGTTATTATTATTATCATCATCATTATCATTCTGTTTGGTTGAAAAATTCGACTGAACAGATAATTGATTTTCTTTCTGGGAATAATGAAGCTGACAAGATGTATCCGGATTAGTTTTCTAAAAATCAATAATTCAAATAATATTAGTTCACATTACAAACTGATATTAACCGTAGGAAGTGTGAAGTAACTACTAAAAAACTAGGGGGGAAAATTGGATAACTGTTTGCAATCTAGTCTGAAATTTCTCAAAAGAACACTTCCATGAACTAACATCAAGGATCATTACCATCTAACCACTGCAAAGAATTCTTCAGAACTATGGAATAATTAATAGCAATGTATAACGATGACAAAATAACAAAAATAACTAGAGGTGGAAATAGATTATTCAAAGTATGGTTAGAGTTTTGTAAGGATTGAGTAAATTCTTAAGTTGTATTCGCTACAGACTGATCTCAGTTGGGGTACCATTTCGAACAAGAAGGCACTAGACAGTTGTTTAGCCCCAGTATAAAACTCAATGACCCCATTAGCAATCAAGTCAAGGACCTTTAGGTTCAGAAGCGAACCCTGGTACAGCACTAGCTTCAGTCAATTTGCAACAAAGAGTGAAGATCATCGAATGCCATCAATGACAATTATTTACAAGTATACACAAGTTAGAGTGTGCATAAGACGATTCATTATGACCTGGCTACCAAAACAATGTATACGTTTGATAAATTATGATAAGTCTTCTATCTGGACGCTCGAATCGGTCTCCTAAACCCTTCTAATAACCCCAGGCTAAATCTACATGACAACTTGAACGACAGAAAAGGTGAGAAGTGTGAAAAGAACGTTTTACTCCAAGGTTAGTTTATGTACAGAAAGTCGTGGGTATTTATAGCATTTCAGATGACCTTGGGCTTCTTCAGCAACAGTAAACATAGTAGCAGGATAGGTAATCATCCAATAAAAAAGTGTGACACGTGACTCTTCACTTTCTATATACTTTTGTGAAACTTCCATTTAACACTGATTTTATAAAATGTTTCCCAGAGTTTTCTGAGCCCATCTGGACTTTTTCGAAGAATATTTTGAATGTCCTCAATAAATCATCATTACTGAATTCTAAAAAGTATGATCACTTGGCAAACTTGAACTACAGTTAAGTGCTTTTAAGGATTAATCAACAACGTCAAACAAAAAATCTTGTTTTGTTCCACGCTTAATCAAAAACTTATTTTCTAGCCCAGTTAAAAACTCTCAAATAGTATAAAAATATCTTTATTGCCTGATAGTAATGGTAATGTGATGCCTCTGTGGTTCTCATAGATGTTGAGATCTCCTTTCATCGATATCTTGACGAGGTACTTCTCTCTTCCTAGACTGTATATACTTGTTCTCCAACTTAAATATTTCTAGATAGAGTGAAACATTTTTTAGTTCCCTCTATATGTGAATTCAGTGATCCAGCTGTTTTGCCACTCTTGATTCGTCTTATAACCCTGCTGATTTTTCCTGTTGTGGGATGGGTTCTCACTTATTGAGGTCTATATGCTGATTTGATGCCTGACAGGTTTAAGACGTCGGTCGGTTTAAAAGTTCAAAGTGCTCCACCCACCTGTTCCGCTTCTCTAGAACCTCAGTGAATTGTTTCCCTTCTCTGTTCATGACTGATACCCCTAGTCCACCATATTTCCCTATTAGTGTTTCGTTTGTATTACTTAGTTCCTTAAAATTTCCTCCTATTCCCGTCTTTTTCAATGTCATTGGTAGATCTACATATTTCTTTTTATCAACTCTAAAGGTTTTCTTTAATGGCTTGCGTGCTAGAGCATATTCAGTTTGTGTTTCTGCTTCTTCTGCTCTTGTTCAGCTGTCTTCTTGTTTTTCCTTTCTCCAATTTCGCCCAGCTTATCTAGAAAGATCCACTTTTCATCCCGGTACTTCTTAGGGTCCAGTACCTGCTGCTTCTTGATTCACTATCCAGTTGTTCTTCACAGTGGTCTCCTCTTCTTTTATTAGATATTGGACGGCATGTAACTTGTTGCCGAGAGCTATCTTGAATTTGTTGAGCTTGCTGGCATCTGAAAGGAAGACCATATTAGCCTTTTGTCGTTATGGCGGGGGCCAATTTCTTTCTAAAGACCGGAATAAAATAACATCGCTCATGAAGGTAGTCTTTCCTGTCCAGATTGTGTCTAACCAACTTCACTTACTCAAAGCACAGTCATATTGTATCTTCCCATTTCCGCCGCTATTTGAATGACCCTCCCGATCTCTTACACTGTTCAAACACTTCATATTAATTGTAACTCTGGTTATCAGAAGAGGCACTGGATTCGTGATTTCTGGAGAATCTCGGCTTTCACCATGAGGCCTCGTAGCTCTTCTACATAAAAACTCGCTGACTCCCACGGTAGAATTCAGATGGTTTAAAAGAATATTATGACTAACTTCTTCATTAAGTTTTGTTTCTAAAGGCGGGGCTGCTAAACACACCACAAATCCTTCTCTTTTGCTCAAATAATTTTAGTTCACTCAAAAAATTCAGAAAAATCTTGAGATTTCCAAGCAAATGTGCAAATTTTAAAATAGAAGTATTTTCTTTAAGAATTCATATCAGTTGGTGGAATTGTTGAAAAAAGACACTGAACAGCTCTTTCTTGCCCTAATTCGAGACTATTTAAAAATCACGAACTAGCTTCCAGAGCCAATTACTATTGTTTGATCCGTGCCAGGTATTAGACAGCTACATACCAAGCGCAACAGATGAGGATTGCGCATTATAGCGAATTGGTTGAAGCTGTATATCAATACCGTTGGATGTCGGTTTAGTGGTCTAGCGGTTAAGTATTCGTGCGTAATTTCAAAGTCCTGGGTCCGAGTCCCGCTTACAGTGTCGTGGATGTGCATTGCTGAGGAGTTTCACACTTGGACAAAACAATTATCTAGGTTTCAGTGGCATTCTGACTAAGATCCCCTCGTAACTCAAACTTTAAAAATTCAAAGATTATTTAGATTTCGATCGAATATAATATCTTTAAACCATATAGTACATATATTTAGAAAAAACCTTACCTGTAAAGATAGTTCAAGTGACTTTGAATCTTCATGAAATGGATTAAGAAGACATAACGATGATGTAGATGAAGAAAGACAAAAATTCAAAGTGCAATAAATCCCACCAAAATACAAACAATCACCATCTCTTAATTCATAATTTATTTTAGGTTTTAAATGTAAATCATTACGTTTTGTACCATTTAGTGAACCAAGATCTGTTATAGTACAAATATAATTTTCATCTAATTCAAATATTGCATGTTCTCTTGAAAGTAACTAAATAAATAAATAAAAAGTTTAGTAAGTTTTATCATATGAATGCATATAAGATCCTTAAAAACCAAAACCATAAGTAAAGATAAGATTACAAAAAGTATTCATGAAAATAGTAAAGATACACAATTAGTCAGTAATAAGAATCTGTTAGACTAATTTTGACAAGGTGCTTATTGCATCAACACATTTTATAGTATTTAATAATATTGAGATTAAGTAGAAAAAAAGCAGAGTGGATGACAGTTCATTAGATGGTATTGAAAAATAAAGGAATAGTTGTATTATTCACGATTCTCTTATTGAAGTTTTAAAGATTTTACAATTCGATGCCTTGAAAAGACATCATTGAAAACAGGAATCAATTCAGTTTGTCTAGCATTTCAAACATAAATAAATAAATAAGACTCAAATGCTCAAACAAAAGCTAAGTGGAACAACTTATCGTAAACTAGTGTTTAAGTCAGAAATATTAGTTTTAACAGTCAGTCAGTCAGCTACAACGTAGGACCAGGCACATATATGCATCGGTCCAAGTTGCCATAACTCATTAACATAGAAGTAGTTCATTCAGTGGTGGTAATATATTAAAGAAAGATAGCATATGAGGGTATATTACAGGAAGAAAGAAAGATATGAAGCAATTTTAATTATACGGTTTAAGAAAAGACAAAGAGTGTATACACCTACACCATTGTGATCGATATTGAGTCATGTGACTAAGAGTCTTCAATCATTAGTTACGATAGTCACGCGAACCCCAACCAAGTAGTCTGCATCTCCCAACATGGCTCACATCAGAAGTTAGTGACTTCAAGCACTGATGCCACGTTTTGGTTTGGCCACCCCTAACTTTCTTCCAACCGTCTCCAACACTGGTCATCATTGCACGTCGTGGTAATTGGTGTTCAGGCATACGCAACACGTGTTACATTTCAAACATGGAAACTGTATTTGGGCTGCTCAATAATTTAGATATTTCAAGTTCATTGAAATTATCAAAAGCATATGTTATCAAAAAGCAAAAATGTGACCACCATGGTTAAAGGAACAGTGACAAACTCTCAACTATTATAATAATGCATCTTAAACGTCGGTTAATGTAGTCCTATATTTCTTTCGCATAGTATGAACTAACGATTACAATTCAAGTAAAACAAATTAAACCCATTTTCTTTATTTTGTTCTCGTACGATTAGGGGTCGGAGACAATCTACAGGAAGAGAGCAAATATATTCCCCATTAGGCTTCCCTTGGACTCTAAGTTTCCATATAAGCCTTTTCATCTTTCCTTTTTAAATCACACTTTTCGTACGTTTTGCCACTAATGTGGTGTGTACTACGTGTACGGACGAATATAAGTAGTATATGTCGGGAACTTAAAGTAGAATTTTTGAGGACAGAAAAGGAAAATGGAGAGAAATGGAAACGGAAAGTAATCGAAATAACAACATGAATGAAAGAACGATTTATTTTGTGAGATACACCTCAAGAAAGGCAAATAGTGTATCTAATGTGTTGGTTTCATAATTTAGGAACAAGGTATGGTTTTCTATAATACAGTAAAATGGTTTACACCAACCAGTTCTTCGTTTATTAAACAACGGCTATTACTATTAGTCATCTGTCTGAATGCTACATATCTTGGCGGCCTGCTTGAACATCTGGGCTACCTGTTTCAGCCATCTAGATATTTCAATAAGTTATCTAATTTTGTTTGTTTTAATACATCATTATGGCTATTAATCGCATAACCTATTCAAGTGCGTTTTTGAAAAGTGCACAACCTTTCGTTGTTACAAAAGGCCCAATCAGAGATATCATGGTTCCTGGTAATATGCAGCGAACAGAATGTACATTATTTCGATATCGATTGACTGGACTGCTAACTTCTAACTGGCGATCATTCAATATTTACCGTCAATATCGATTAAGAAGTAAGAAACGGAAATTTGTTGAAATAGTTTGTGCTGAGAATTCTATAATGTACCGAAAATATAACATTGAATAAAGCTAATAATAAATAAATAAATGATCTAGTTTACAATATCAATAAAAAATACTTTTAAAAACTACTAACTTTTTTAAACTCGGTGTCTGGTCATTTACCTGAACACGGATTACCACGACGCGTAATGTTGACTAGTGTTGGGGATGGTTGGAAGAAAGTTAGGAGCAGCCAAACCAAAATGTGGCATCAGTGTTTGAAGTCACTGTCTCCTAGTCTTAGACATGTTGGTAGATGCTGACTACTTGGTTGTGGACCGCGCGACTATGATAACCAATGGTTGGAGACTCTGGGTGACATGGCTCAGAATCGATCACAATGGCGTCGGTGTATGCATTCTCTGTCTTCCCTTAGACTATGAGATTAAAATCGCCTCATATCTTTCTTTCTACCAACTAATTATTACTTCCTGTAATACACCCTCATATGCAATATTTCTTTTATATATTACCACAACCGAATTAACTACTTTTGTGAATCCGGGTGTTCATCTTGTTGTGTTAATTAGGTATAGTAACTTGGACCGATGCATATATGTGCCTGGCCCTACGTTGTAGCTGACTGACTGGTCATTTGCGTTTGATGCTCTTTTTTTATTCAGTTATCGAGTGTGTGTATTGATTGGACAACAATATCTTCAGAGATTATTGCCCAAAGGGGATTATTTATTAACTTATCAATTCTTTACAAGTATTAATAATATGTACTTTAAAAAGTAGTTCTAAATAGTGAAAAAAAGAGAGAGAGAATCACTCACTGAAGATTTAATGCATATATCACACTTCGAATCTCGCCCAATAGTTACATACTCTAAACAAGGATTCGATTAAATATTTAAAAGAACGGTAAAGACTCACTTTTCACAAGTGGATATTCCATAATTTTCTTTTCAGATGCATAAACACTTAAAACAGGAACCTGTGATTTTTATCAAACATAACGATAATGCATTGTGAATACCTTATCCATTGGTTTACTGATTACATCATTATTTATAAAGTCAGTAGGTTGAGTGGAACAAACTTCATCCATGATATGAATAGATATTTACTTTTCTGTTAAAAAAAATTTGAACAATGAAAACAAGTCATAGATTGACATGAAGTCATTAAATAGTTAAAACCGGCTAAAATTTTGCAAAGTGATAAGATACACATAGACCATCTTTTGAGCTGAGTACCCGGGAAATAAACTCCGCTTGAAGCCCCTCTGGAGCTACTGCCGTTCTCAAGCCCAGATAAAGGAGGGTTGAGCATGGGGTTAGCAACCCTATCCCGTAGAAAACTAACTAGCTAAAAAAACGCTAACCCAAGAAACATCTTTTACCGAGAACTAGTTAAATAGAAAGAGATTGATTTAGTTGACCTAGGATTAAGAATCATTTCATACATTGAAATATTACCAAACATATTAACACTAAAAGTAAGGAAATCTGGTTAACTGTTAAAATACAATCAATACGGATGAGAAAAGAATCCACCAAGACCAAGTTAAGTGGTTCCGATGTAAATAATACTCCCTTTAGGAGTTTAACGTTTTATTTTACAGCCTTATCTGTAATAATAAGTATTTTATAGTGCCTTATTTGTACTGAGATTGAGCTCTAAATTGACAAAAAATAGATGGTGAGTATATCCAGCACTAAATTTAACTACTTGTTTCTAAGCATGAGGCATGTTATCTTAGATGTTCAATATCCTGAGATCGACCATCAGGATTCTATTAACAATAAAACTAAAGTCTAAAAATTAAAAACAGTAGATGTTAGTGATTCATTTCCAAATAATATATAAGCGTTGGCACCCAACTAATAATCGAAGTAACTAAAAAAATTAGTCACCACTACTTATTTATTTATTTTAGATAAGGAGTTTTAATCGGACAATGAAGTTTTAAATCCCAAAACTTGTCATTCCTAAACCCAAAGTGAAGCTCATATATTGGCAAATTAAGATAAAAAAACCACCGGTAGATAGATGAAATATTATTTCTGAATTGACTTTCCGTTATACAATACATATTTTGGAATTAATGAAGAGTATTTGAACTATATGACTGATCAAGTAAAGTTGACAATATACAGTCATTTAATTAATTACATTTATGAATTTAAATAAAGCCAGAACAAACAATTAGTTTACTTACTTACGCCTGTTACTCCTAATGGAACATAGGCCGCCGGCCAGCATTCTCCAACCCACTCTGTCCTGGGCCTCAGAACAAACATGGATGGAGAATAATATGGATTCATTATATTTCGCGGTTTCTTATCAGCTGCTTACAACATATATATATATAGTTATTATTAATAACCTTTATAATTCCAATTCTTTTCATTCACTTATGTCAATTGTTTCATATTATATCTTACCTTAATGTAAAAATTTTAACACGTTTGATCATGAGCAGCTGATCAGAAACCATGAAATATAATGAATTCATATTATTCTACATTTATATTTGTTCTGGTTTTATTTAAATATACAGTCAGCTGAAAACATTCAGCGAAGTTACACATAAATAATACTCCAAGATATCCTACATAATTTGCTTATTTTTTCATTCCCATATTTATTCGCTTAACATTATTGTCAGAAAGTTCAATACCGAAATACAGGTAAAGAAAATAAGTCAAAAGTTAAATATGAACAGATCCGTATCCTAGGTTATGACCCCGGCATCTTGATAATGATAATGGTTGCTGATGCAAGATAGCTACCTGAACTACAATAATTTCGGATGAATTCGCACATATGAGCCGCCAATCGAAACATGAGTGCCAAAACCAGTGAGTAACAAAACACGTATGTGTGAAAGTCACTAAAACTGAGCTAGAGATTTTTCACCTCATTACAATGCTCATGTTTCAGTTATACACACTACCAAAATTATTTGATTGTAATTCCTCATATATTATAAGAACCTCATTTGGTTGTGTGGCATGACCCAATTTAACAAGCGCTTGGAAAGTCATTGTTGTGTACTGTCATCGTAAAAAGGCAAAGTAGTGCAAGGAGCAAGAGTATTTGGAACAAGCAACTTGGCCTTGATATCATAAATCTTTTTTTAGAAGACCCAAGACAACTATTTTTAAATACAATATGGTTCTGTAAAGAGACGGTTAGTGTCTAGCAGTGCAATCCAAAATGCACATTTTGTTTTATTTGAAGTTCGTCAGCTAAATGTACATTCATCCGAGATAATATTAACTCCAAAACTCGTACCCGGTACCTTTTGCTTCAAACGCCGTCGCATTATCCACTTAAAACTGAGTCTAGATAGTCAACGACTGAATTTACATTCCTATATAATAGTTATTTAGATCTTTTAGTAGCTATTTGAACTCAGTAACTGAGTGGACAACGCTATGACATTTGAAGAGAAAGGTACTGAGTTCCAGTCCTGGAGTGAACATCAGCTGTGAGATGCGGATAGCTTCTGCTGACGAGTCCCAGACAGGATGAAACAAGTGTCCTGAATTTAAATGCTAGCCGCCATCAATCACTGCTTATCATGCATAATCAACTCCGCCTGTAGCTCTTCTAGGGTTGCTGTCGACCCCAAGACCGAGTAAAGGAGGAGGGTTGGGTATGGGGTCAGCAACCCCATCCCGTAGAAAGAAACCTCATCGAAAAACGCCAACCAGAATAAACAAATTAAAACATTTAAACTCTGTCTCCCGAGTTCAAGGAAGAATTATGACGCCTCATCGTGAAAGCCAAGATTTTTCGGAAGTCACGAGGCTGATCCCCATTCTAACGACCTGAACATCAATTAATATAGGTACATGGAATGCACGGACAATGTGGAAGACTGGGAGGACCAACCATACAGCCACAGAAATGAGTAGATACAACCTGACAATGCTCGGAATAGGTGAAACACATTAAACCCAAGGTGGACAACAAAGGATAGATTCGGGAGACATGCTTCGAACACTCACGGAATTGCTCTCATGCTGTCCAAACAAGCATGAAATGCACTGATTAGGTGGGAGTCTCGTGGATCTAGGAATATCAAAGCATCATTAAAGACAAAGAAGAAGGGAATCACAATGAGTGTTATATAATGTTATGCACCCACCATTGATAGCAACGACGACGATAAAGATCACGAGGGTCTAAAATCGATTAGGGAGAAGTGTCCAAGAAAGGATCTGACCATTCTGATTGGAGACCTAAACACCAAAGTCGGAATGGACAACACCAGGTATGAAGATATCATGGACTGACATGGAAGAGACCGAAAATAGCGAGAGATTTAAAAATTCATGTGCCTTCAACAAAATGTTTATAGATAACACAATATTCCCACACAAACATACACAAAGCTATAAGGGTCTAACCGGATAGCACTACACAGAACAACAATGACCATGTTTGCATCACTAAAATAACCCAGAAGGACAATTGAAGACGAGAGAATCAGAGGGGGAGCTAAAATGGCTTTAGATCACTACCTGGTTGTGATTGCCAAGATGAAACTGAAGCTAAAGAAACACTGAAAATTGGGAAAAACAGCATTACAGAGGTTCAATACAGCCTTTCTTCAACATACAGACTCAACGAATTCAAGATAACTCTCAACACTAAGTTCCAAGCATTACAAGATCTACTGAAAGAAGAAACTACTATGAAGGACGATTGGAAAGGGATCAAACAAGCACCAACTTCAGCGTGTCAGGAGGTGCTGGGCATAAGTAATGGACCTCTATGGAAATATTGGACAAGATTCAAGAAAGGAAGAATAAGAAGACAGTAATTGACAACAGCCGTGCAATAGCAGGAAAAACCAAGGCACAGGCCCGATACACAGAAACTAACAAGATGATGAAGAGAAGCATTAGAGCAAACAAGCAGAAATATGTGGAAGGCCTGGCAACGACAGCAGATGAAGCTGCAAGAGAAGGAAATATGAATCGACTACATGACACAGCAACGTAACCTGCAGGGAAATATAGTAAACCAGAAAGACCAGTCAAGGACAAAGAAGGCAAACCAATCACTGAATTTCAAGAACAGAGGAACAGATGGGAAGAATACCTTCGAGGTACTCTTGAATAGACCAGCTACATTGAATCCACCGGATATCGAAGCAGAACATACACACATCTTCCAATAGATGTCACTTCAACAAGGATAGAAGGAATCGGGATAACCATCAGGCAAATCAACAGTGAGAAAGCAGTAGAACTTGACTATATATCAGCTGAAGCTCTGTATTCAGACTTGGAAGCAACTTCAAACATGCTCCATATTCTATCCAGGAAGATATGAAAGGAAGAACAAGTGCCGATGGCCTGGAAAGAAGGACACCTCATCAAGATTCCAAAGAAAGGAGATCTGAGCAAATGTGAGAACTACGGAGGCATCACACCACTGTCGGTACAAAGAAAGCATTTTAAAAGAGTGTTGCTGAACAGAATGAAAGACTCATTAGATGCCCAGTTTCGAGATCAAAAGGTCGAATTCTGTAAAGATCGTTAGTACATAGACCAAATCACGAAAATACGGATCATTGTTGAACAATCAGTTGAATGGAACTCTGAAAAGAGCAAGAACAAAGATTCTAGCAGAATAACATAAATTCATTTTATTTCATAGGTTCTCGTCAGCTGCTTACAACCTGTGATATTTAAAAATCATAATTACATAATGGATTTAAGTTGCTAACTGAATATTGTAAATATATACCTAATGTGAAAGAATATTCTACAACATTAATTGTAACAACAGTTTAAAAGTGGGTTAGAAACAATCGATTACATAATGAATAACATTGAAGGAATGTAATGAGTAGAGTTCAGTTGAAAGATTATTAATTTGAAAGATAGTTGAAAAAATTGAATAGAGTCAATGATGCAATAAATGCAAAAGAAAAAAAGAAAAATTTTTTTATGGTGCAGTGAAGGAATATTTGTCATTAGGGCAAGGAAAGATTAACCACCGTCTCCTTTTGAATACATAGGTCAGGTTTTTGACACCTGATGGTAATGGCTTCAGCAAACTTCAGAAGACTGGAGTTTGGCTGCT